GAAATAGATACAAATATATGTATATCCTCCTGGTGCTACGAATCTTCTTAATAATACAGAATTTCAAATTTTTCCATTCTCCAAGATAATCAAGAACCTAATCAAAATATAACCTTTAAAATGTCCCCATTACAATCCATCCCAACAACAAGACATCAATTAACAAATATATCTCTAGCCCTATTCAAATTTTAACCTCTTGGCCAACCACGCAAAACATATCAAGATCTTATCAAATTTCTTGGGAATGGGGGAAATATCAAATTGATCATCAATAAAGAAGATTCCAATTCCTCGTGCATTCTGAAGCGCAACCACCTGAATTCATTAATAAAGATAAGTTTTATTATCTGTCCATTCTCAGAATTTGTGCCGGCAAAATAGTTTACCATCAAATATCTATCAACAGATAAATTTAAGGTGCAAAATGCAATATGTTGGAATAATTTTTCACATCTGTTATAAATTGTAAAATTATGATGCATTGTGCGAAGAATAAACAATATGCATTTCAATTCTAAATCTCATAGGAAATTTAGAGAATTCTCATTCGACCTAGTGATAAGACAACATCAAAGCGGACAATTCAATTCGCTAGAAATATATTATATTTTGGGCCCACCCGCCGTACCACCTACCTCAAAATAATATCCTATTATTTTGAGATGATTGGAAATATCCGCATCCAACTATTTCTGGGCCCTCAAGGTCTGACAAACAATTTCAAGAATATCGTTTAAAAAAAGGACATAAATCGGATATGATTTTGTTTAGATGGGATCCACCCCCTAAAATTAACCAAAATTGACACAAATCGGGTTACCACGAGAACATCATAATGGGTAGTTGAATAACCAACCACCCTTCAAATATATATATTTATATATTCAATGGGTGGTTGAAGACTCACCCATCCCTCAAAAAATTTAGTATAGGGATCGTTGTTATTTGCTCCCACCGTCCCGGTTCTACCTGGCTAATACGAACCCCTAAGTCGCTAATGTTTGTTTATGCCGGTTCTACCTGGCTATTTTCAATCAAATCTTCAAAAACCCAGCGGATTTGCACATGTTTTCCAATCTCTTTTCCTCTTCCATTTTTTCCTTGTTGGTTTGTTTTGTTTGTTCTGTCTTTTTCTACCTTTCCTGTTGGCACTATTTAATAGGTGATTGTATAATCACCAATCCCCTCAAATAATTTCATTATAGAGGTTGAATGAGATTGTATTCTATCCTTTTCCATCTAATTTGCTATCATTGAAGTCCACTTAATAGGTGGTTCTATAATCACCCACCCCCTCGATTAGTTTATTTATATTGGAATTGGTAGTCATTGATCATATTCCTTTTCTATTTTTCTTGTTAGTTCCAATAATTTGTATATATATTTTCGCAAACATATTTTCCTTTTCCACAATCTCTTCCTATTGAGATGGCAGGTATCCTTGATTAGCAAACATTCTCAATCTGTAGGTTTTGATTCGGTACCTTCCAAAGCATTGGAAGTGTGCCTTGCCATCTTGATGAAAGGGTTTTCTTTCTTTCTAGCTTTGATCTATTAGTAAACCACAAAGCATTGTGCCCAGAGGCTGTAGCTCTAAGGTGCTTGGTTGCAAGCTGCTACTCTGTCAGCCAGACAGCCGACACTATTAAAAATGATTTCTTATCCTGATAACGTAAGATTGGGCAGAAATTTGTCTTGGACACTTTAGCAGAGGAGAACGGTGAAGAGAACAGGGATGAGGAAGCCAATGATGAGACCAAAGAAAACTTATCTTATAATATAAATTCAATATTGTTTAGCAATAATTTGAGGTGGACCCTCATATATTGTTTTACTTTTTTGCACCACCTAAATTGATTTAATGAAATCTATTTTAATATTATCACCTATATAATTTGAAAGACATACATTAAATTAATTAATTGAAAAATATCACTAGATAATTCCCATCTCCATATAATATCCTAAGGACCAAAATATCCCTAGAAGCAGGCCTTCTCCAAAGCCAATTTAGCAGCCGCCAACCAAGCACCGCAAAGACCCGCGAAACATATAGACATAAATATAGATATATTTATATCATCCTGATGCTACGAATCTTCTTAATAATATACATATTTTTATTCTCCAGTATAATCAAGAACCCAAATTAAAAATACAATCTAAAATATTTACCCATTGCAATCCAACCCAGCAACAAATTATCAATTAACAAATATATCCCTAGCCCTATTCAAATTTTAACCTTTGCCAACCACACAGAACATATCAAGATCTTATCAAATTTCTTAGGAATGGAAGAAATATCAAATGAATTATCAATAAAGAAGATTCCAATTCCTCGTGCATTCTAAAGCGCAACCGCCTGAATTCATTAATAAAGGTAAATTATATGTTCTATTTACCATTAAATATCTATCAATAGATAAATTTAAGGCGCAAAATGCAATATATTGGAATAATTTTTGCCCAAGAAAAATACGATCTTGCCCATTTATGAATTATTCGATGTTTTTTTTTAACATAATTGTTCCGTTCTTAGATGCCGTGATGCATAAACCGCCAAGTCGAAATAAATTTCCTAATTCTGTTTTTTAATGAATATATAGTAATAATCTGCAATCAAATAATCCGCCGCTAACAAATAACTTAGAATTTACAGATATTTAATGGCTTACGCCTAACAGCCGGGCGCCGGCCCACTTGGGTCTGTGCAGGGCTGGGTCGGGCACACGTTAAGCTATCAAGGGCATACTGGGCCCTGGGTGGTGCCGGAAATTGGTCCGCGTCGGAGACGGGGGCCCTATATTGAGCAAAGTTAAGCTATCTGGTGCGCATCTTGGCCCTAGGTTGGGCCAAGTGTGGCCCATGCGGTCTATGTTGGGCACATCTGGAGCCCATGTTGAGCCTATGTTGGGCCTACGTTGGCCTATGTTAGGCCTATGTTGGCCTAGGTTGGGCCTATGTTGGCCCCATGTTCTCCTATGTTGGCCCTATGTTGAGCCATCTTGGAGGCTATGTTGGGGATATGTTGGCTATCTTGGGCCTATGTTGAGGATATGTTAGGCAATGTAAGTCGTCTGGAGGGCCTCTACCCACAAAATGTCGATTAAGCCTGTCCGCCCAGCGTACATTACCGACACCACCCTTGAAAAACACAGCATGTTTGCATTTCTCCCTTTTCCCCGCGTCGTACTTCGATATGCGCAATAAACCATGTAAAACACAGTGTTTTTTATACCTCACACACACGATACACTGTAAATTACAGGGGCATCAGTGACCCGGTGGTCCCCCCGTTTTGGTCCCGAGGGTCGGCGGCAGCCAGGGCCAGCGTCTATAACCTTCGGTTACCACCGAAGGCCCTCCGGGCAGGGCACGGGCTTCGTGGCCGGCGCCCGGATTTACCAGGCTATCGCCCGCATGGAGATGGAAGGGATCCCGAGCTTTTTGCGGACAGAGAAGATGGACGAGCAAATCCGCGAAGAGAAACGGGCGGAGGTGACGCAGAAGGCTGCCAGACTCCAGGCGAGTTACAAGTGGTTGCAGGAGCCCGTAGAAAATAGAGGAAAATGGGTTAGCATTTTTGATTGAAAATCTGGGAACCCCAAAAAATAACACGGAACCCCTAGACCACCACAGAACTATCTAGAAGAATCAGAGAAAATCCTGGAAAAGCCCTCGCGCAAGGCACGAAAAACCTGAGTAAGTCTGACAGAAACCTTTGAAAATCCTAGAAATCCAGCGGAAAAGGTTAGAAAATCG